TGGAGAGGAAATGTTTTGAGAATGATGAGGGCAATGAATGTGCAAATGTGCTTTACATAATTTATGTACATATGGATTGTGATAAGAGTTGTATGAGCCCCTAATAAAATGATTTTTTAAAAAGAGATCAAGATGCAAGGAGCTGATACCAAGGGCTCAAGTAGAAAGAAAATGTTTTGAAAATGATGGCAACATATATACAAATGTGCTTGATATGATTTATGTATGGATTGTTATAAGAGCCCCCAATAAAATGCTTTATACAAAAATAAAAATAGGTGCTAAAAAAGAAAGAAGAAGAAAAAAGGAACGTACATACACACAATGGAATACTAGGTGTCCCTAAAAAACAGTGGTGAAAGTCTGAAGCACTGCATGATATGGAAGGACCTGGAAGCCATTGTGCTGAAGGAAGTTAGACAATCACAGACACTGTATGAGTCTACTACTATAAGGAGAAACACCAATGAAACACATCTTAGAGACCCATTTCCAAACAAGGGGGTGGGGAGCCTGCCTGCCCGCCATGAACCATGCATCACCCCCCTTGTGTGCACTTCGTAAGACCCACCTCCAAAGAGGAGACTTCACATCAGCTCGGGTCACTCGTTCAAGAAGGGGGAAAGGTCGAAAACCAGCCACTAGACGCCACACAACACTGAGACAAGATTGTGATGAGTCAACAGACACTCCACAGGAATGAGAAGAGAACCTGACTGGAAAGTCAAGTTAAGACCAGGGAGGGGCGCATCTAGACTTCAGAGAAGGTATTTAGACTTCCGTTGGTGGGTAAATGGGGAGAGGCAGCCTCAGATCAGGAAGGCATGCTCTACAATAATTATAGAGTACTCAAGGGGAGAATAAACCCAGCTATGTCCCAGGTTAAACCCTTTCTGAATTAGTTTCTACCCAATCCTCAGTGAACCTTGCCAGGGTTTATGCACGACTTTGATCTCTGGCCTTGTGGGGAACATGGCATCCCCCATAGGCCACACCAGAAGGACTTGACATGGCAACCCCACTGATAAAAAAACAGGGCAATATCTCAAAACCACCTGTAACTCTTGAACTTAAGACTGAAAGCCCCAATGAGAGAAGAAACAAATAAGGGTCACCCCAAGACTGTGAAATTGGCCGTCATTGGATCCAGTGAAAGAGCACCAGAGCCACCATATATTTACTATCTCAATGCCCCCCATGCATTAACATGACTTGTTTTGATCTCATAGGCAAGGATCTGTCCTTATAAGAAATATTGCAGGAAATTATCCCCTGGCACCCACCCCATGGTCGATGTAAGCAGAGCTCAATCATTTAAGAATCAATATGTGCAAAGCTACAACTCTGGGTGGCAATCCATACCTGTGGTTCGCAGCTAGACTTGCGTAATTTCGTTTTCTCAACAGTATCTTGAATTCTATGCCATTCGATAAATTATTGACATTAGCAATGGAATGGGCTTAAACCTCTAGGGGGATAATTGTTCATGTCTTTTTGATCGTTTGCTGTCATACAATGATAATAGCATCGCTAAAGTAAACCAAAGTCATGCATACCCCGTGGATAAGCAGATGGATTCTTGGGTTGCCACTTAATCCTAGCCCCAATCCAAGAAGAGTTCGATTTTATGACCTCGCCTTCATGGAACGATCACTGAAGACATGAGTGTTACAGCAAAGTGTGGTGAAGAAAGCAGGTGGTGCCTGTGGTCGTTACATAACCTGGTGTCGATTTGAGAAGATTACACGTGAAAGGGTTGAATCTGGCCTGTCCATCAGATCACAGCCAATGAGGTCTCTGTGTGGGCATGGCCTTCTCCTGAGAATTCTGGGAAATCCTAGATTTCCTCCTTGGAGGCGGGAGACACTTCTCTCTCTGTT